GCTTTGGGTGGGACTATTTATAAGTAAAGATATCTCATGATACTGGAAAATGATTAGAACATGCAAACTCATACAATAGCTTTCGTCCACTTCTTAAAGGGTCCAACCACAGGAAAAGCCATTTAAAATGTTGGTAGATTTAAGAAAGTTGGAATGTGGGCTGTATTGAATTGGGCAATAATTTCCTCAGACCTGGCGCAGAGCTACATTGCACTTAGTAGATTAAAGCAGCAGACATGATGACATTGTTTAAAAACAATACAACACGTCAAATTTCCCTTATATCTATAGTTCAGTTATGTCCAAACATTCCCCATATAGTCTCCTGCCCAGAAGCAGATCACAACATAAGGCCAGAGACACAAAGGCGAATGCTGAAGATCAGAGTTACAGCATGGATCACAAGTCTTCATTCAAACACACCCCAGAGCTTTTTTTTTTTTTTTCAGTTTGTTAGAGTGTTTTATAGAAATTTTTCAAAATAATTTCATCCCATAGCTCCATTAAATTGTGTTTCTCTTTAACTGATAAGGATAACAACTAATTTTACTCTTGCTTTTTTTTATAGTAGAAAGAAATAAAACTATCAGTCAGACTCCTTTACTGATATTTGAGGAGTCTTTAGCCATATCACCCCAAATGTGCCCAATCTTTTCTAATACTTGAGGAAAAAGAGAGGAAGTCTCTCTGACATTGTGTCTTCAAAAGAGTTAAATCACACTTACCCATGATTATTACTGTTGTCTTAGATGATAAAAAAGGAAAATACCCAATAGTCATTAAATGGTTAAACTGTTCTTTACTGCAGGTATTTTTGCCTATCACCCAAAAAGATACAAAATGAACATATAATTGCGATGCTAACTGTTGGATATGCTGGTTGACACATCTTCTTGTCCCTATAAAAGTTTAAAGGAAACAGACAGTAGTTTTTCCTAGTAATGTTATAGAAGTAACCAACTGTGTCCATCACAGCTTATTTGAGGTCCTGTAATCCTCTGGATACATGTAAGGAGCCATGGTTATCATTTTCTCAACTCCCCACATCTGATCACATTTAGTTACCATGGAAACTACAAAGGAAGGAAAATTGTATTTATTCTAATATTAATATACTGGGATTTTAAAGCACCCTTCCTTCCATAGAGCTCTGGAGTGGTGATAATGTACCAAGGGTTGCTGTGTTTTCCAGCATATGCTCCTATCTGCTGAGGATCCTGGGAAGGATGGTAAATTGGTCCTGGAGCCCTTGTGAAAGGAGGCAAGGTCCCACTGGAGGAAACACTTGTGGCCTAAAACCTGGGGGTGAGGCAGTCTCAGGGCAGTGTTCATCACTGCCTTCCGAGTAGGTTGAAGTAGTTGGCAGAGGCTTCTTTTGCAGCTGCAAGTGGAAGGAGAGATCCTGAAAGTACTGGAATAGGCTCTTGCTTGACCTCAGCATCTGTGGATCCATTGTTCTCTTTCTCTTTCCCCCTACCTGCCTAGGGTCATCTCCATTTGATGTTGAGTCTGTGGCCATTATCAATCAACTTACTAAATAAATTCTCAGCAGCCACTTCTGTAGCCTGCCTTGTTGCATATTGGGTGAAAGCACACTGCTACTGATACCT